ATATATCTTCTGTTATAGAGCATATCATGAGACATGTGTTGGGAAGTGCATACAATAAATCCATGGCATCCAAGACATTCCCCAGTCTGATCTTCATCTTCCTGTCATCCCATAACCTCCAGCTATATCAGACTTTGTACCATGTATGTGTAACCATTACATTGAACAAGCATGGCTTGTGGAATATAACTCAAAATTCATTTTATTTTTGTCTTCCACGATCCATTTAAATTTATTCTGCTGGGTTAGTTCTCCCTCCAGCTCCTTGTAGGGCAAGTCTTAATAACTTTCCTGGTCACTTTCAGGTAAGAAAAACATTATTTTCAAGAATTGATAAACTTAACTCAGAGTTAAAGTTTTCTTCCTTTGCCACGTCAGGCCTGCTATAGGCCCACAGCTTTGGCTTCCTTTTCTTTCTGTTTTTCCCTGCTTGTCTTTTTTACTCCTCTTCATTTGCTATGGTTTCTGGCCCCTCCAGTATTGGGAAAGGCAAGGATTGAAGTAGAAAAAAAGGTCTTTACTAGTAGTGTATGTAACATTTATTTGGTACTAGGTACTGTTTTAAGCACTTCATAGGTATTAGGCCAGTTAATCCTCAAAGCTCTCTGATAGAGGATCTATTATCCCAATTAATACTGCTGAAAAATTTAAGGTACAGTTTAGGACATGCGCAAGGTTACGCAGCTATGAATGGCAGACCAGGATGCAGACCCAGCAGTGTGGCTCCAGGGCTCCCTCTCAATCTTACCACTATATTGCCTTTGATTGTACTATTGGGAGATGGTAAGCATACTTACTAGTCTTGGCCAAAGGTTAAGTCAGACTCATACCCTTTATATTTTTTCAGGTGTGACACACATTTTCTGTAGGCCTGAGACAAATGACAAACATGTCTCAACCCCTTTCCCTTGCACAGGAATAGGAGAGAGTGGGGTAGGGTTTGGAGCTGAAAACACACTGATCTCTGTCCATAAAAATTCTTTTGTAATGTTTAACTCTTTGAATGTGGATGTGACTCAAGGTTGAAAATAGTTTCCACTACCTCCTTGCATAGATGGCCTTGCACTTCATTTTGGAATGTAGTGTCTGTTTTTGGAGGGCTGGGGGAGGGGGTGTCTACATCTGACCAAGATAGAAGTGACTTCATTTTAACACCCTGTTGCACTTGTTCTCCAAATATGCTATTTAATTTCTTGCCTTCACACCTTTGTTCATGCATATGGTCCCTGGATTAAGACTGTCACTTGCTCTGAAGGCTTGTTTTCCTCCCTGAACCATATGATGCCCATCAAACTAATCAATCTTGATGGCCAGGCTTTTAAAGACTTAGCCAGGTTACTGGGGTACAGCAAATGGACAAAAAACTTTAATACACCCTCCCATTTTCTTCCTCTTCATCTCATTCCTCTGACAGTTATCAGCAAATATGTTAAATGGTAGTTTTCTTAGACCAGTCCTAGCTGCCTAGTATCTCATGATTACTTGTCCTTGGAAAGAGTACAAGGAGTGGGTTTATATTTGAACTGTTATCTCTGATGATGATCAAGAAAATTATCTCAGGGGCTTTACCTAGCTGTCTTGGCACAGAGCTTTATGCCTTTTATCCTATCTATTGTGTTTATCAGGAAAGAGTCCAGATAGATCATTTTGTCTTCACATATTAGAATATTAAGTGATTTTTTTATATTTATTCAGCTACAGATCCTTAGGTTTTCTTCCTTTTTTTTTTTACCCCTTCACATATGCATGTTCCTGCATAGAACATTCAGAGGGATGTTTACGTAATGGATTGTTTAATGTTTGAACTGGCCTTGTCCTCATGCTCACATTTAGAATTTCTTACACTGCCCAGTAACAAGAACTTGCCAGTACAGGACACACATTGTACAGGGAGGCACGTCAGAATGGTGGTACTCCCTGAGATTGTGTATAATCCCATGATAGCCCAGAACTCCCTTCTGCTTTATCACCTGGCAAAATTCTACTTCTATTAGACCTATCCTCTGGATGCCTCTTCCACCCTGCACATTAAGAAATAAGTATTCCATCCTTTGCTCTCAAATAGCACTGCGGCACACCTCTTGTCATTTAGGCACATAATGTCTTTATAAGGACTCTAAGCTTATTGGGGTCAAGGATAATGTTTTATTTGTAATTGTGTTCCTCCCTTCACACTAAAGTACCTCACATCTAGTAAGTCAGTTATTGAATTGTTTTCAATAACATAAAGTCAGTCAGTGGTCTAATTTGACTCAGAATACCTGATTCAGTCCTACTAATATTTGTGCCCAGAACAAGGGAAATAAATGTAGCTATGCTCAGTTATAATCCTGCCATCCTATCATATTGTGTGCAATTCTGGGAACCAATCTTAAAGGAACATTGAGAAGTGGAGATTGTTCAGAATAGAACAGTCTGAATAACAAGGATGTTAATCAGATTTTAAGGAGCCTTTAAAGGGATTAGGGATGTTTAAAGAAGAAAAACCTTGGGAAAGGATGGAATGTGATGACCGTCTTCAGTTTTTGAAAGCTTTTTCAAGGGGGAAGAAAAAATAGGCCTACTCTTTTTGACCTCAGAGTTCTGAAATCCCAGGGGTTCGTAGTGGTATGCTGGGGTATATTTTTTTTAAAGAAAAAAAAATGTTTAATGTACAAAAGGAAGAGAATAAACACCCATACTCCTAACCAGCAGTTCCCTTGAATATGATGAAAGCTATTAAATATACATGCAGTCATTATTCTGTGTACAGTTTCAAAAGGATCATGGCTCCCTTAGGAATCTATGAATCTCTGGTTAAGACCTCTGGGTTCTGTTGCTCTGTGATAAATAAGTATTTCACAAAGATGGGATCATAGTCTCTGTACTATTTTATCATATTGTTCACTAAATACATAGTAATGTAGTAACTACCACTATTGAGTGTTCACCACATGTCAGTAATTGTGCATTCATTTAACACTCAGAACCAAACATTTTTCCAGGTCCATTAAATCACTCATCTTTAACATCACTGTAAATCAATGGCACATTTTTGAAGGTTTTGAAATCTTATTATCTAGAGCTAATTTATAAAAGTATCTCCCCAGATTTGCTTTGTTTTGCATTTATTTCACTACTATTTAAAGAAAGTTATTTACCTTAGATGAAATAATTGATGCACATAGTTGTATTTTTTGCATTGGAAAAGTACTGTGATCTAAGAGTCAGAAGACCCAGATCCTAGATTTGGTTGTCATTTATTAATTTATTTCTCTGAGCATTAGTTTTACCTTTATCAAGGGGCTAGCATAAGCATCCCTGACTTCATATAGAGGGTGTAAAAAGAGGTTGGGAAGAAAGTACTGTAAAAACTGAAGTACTTTTAGGTTTGCTAAATTAAAAGTATAGAGAGTGTAGATTTTTTTTATATTTCAGTAAATGTGAAATCTGTTAAAGGCAAAACAACTTTTTTTTTTCTTTTTTTGAGAGGACATCTCTCATATTTATTGATCAAATGGTTGTTAACAGTTAACAACAATAAAATTCTGTACAGGGGACTCAATGCACAATCATTAATCCACCACAAGCCTAATTCTCAACAGTCTCCAATCTTCTGAAACACAACGAACGAGTTTTTACATGGTGAACAAGTTCTTACATAGTGAATAAGTTCTTACATGGTGAACAGTACAAGGGGCAGTCATCACAGAAACTTTCGGTTTTGATCACGCATTATGAACTATAAACAATCAGGTCAAATATGAATATTCGTTTGATTTTTATACTTGATTTATATGTGAATCCCACATTTCTCCCTTATTATTATTATTATTATTTTAATGCTGAAGTGGTAGGTAGATGCAAAATAAAGGTAGAAAACATAGTTTAGTGCTGTAAGAAAGCAAATGTAGATGATCAGGTGTGTGCCTGTATACTAAGTATTAATCCAAGCTAGACAAGGGCAACAAAACATCCACGGATGCAGAAGATTTCTCTCAAAACAGGGGGGGTGAGGTTCTAAGCCTCACCTCTGTTGATCCCCAATTTCTCACCTGATGGCCCCCCTGTGGCTGTGCCTGTCTTAGGTTGTTCCTCCCTTGAGAAATCTTACCCGTCTTTGGCTAACCAGTCATCTTCCAGGGCCATACAGGGAAATGTAAAGTTGGTAAGTGAGAGAGAAGCAATATTGTTTGAAAAGATTAGCTTTTTACTTCTTTGCAGATTTATGCTCTGTGGGCAAAACAACTTTTTTTAAGGGAAAATCCAAATGATTGATTACTGAACATTTTTAAAATAAATTTACTTCCAGAAAGGTTGTTTTATTGCAGAAGTAATATGAACAATAGTAATACCTGCTTTCATTTGTTGAGCACTACAAAGTGTCAGGTGCTGTTCTAAGCATTTACTGCATGTGTTGTTTCACATAGTCCTCATAACAACCCTGGAGGAATTGTTGAGTAAAGAATCCAGGCCTATCACATTTCAAAACTTGGACTCTGAACCATCTATATTTACTCACTTTATATACTAAAAGAGGCAGAATATGGCATTTGAGGTTAAGAGTACCAGCTCTGGAATCAGTCTGCTTGAATTTGAATCCTTAGTCTGCTACTTAATAACTTTTTGACTTTAGCAAGGTAGTTGACCCTTTTCTGTTAAATGGGAGAAATAATGTGCCAGTTGACATGACACACATGACAATAACATGAATTATCAAATGTGAAGCACTTAGAACAGTGGCATATAGAAAGCAGCCTGTAATTGTCTTATTTACAAACTTATTTAAAACTGTGCAGCTCCTTTAAACATTAGCTCTAGCTCACAGAGTCCACTGATTGGACAGTTTGGGGAGCAGGTAGGGGGAATAATGTATTTTAATATATTCCCTACCTTGAACTTTCTCACTCTGCCATCTTTCAGCTTTTTTACTAGCACAGTGGCCACATGAAAATAATCTAAATTACCTTCTATTTCAGCTACTGAATCATCAATTAATGCTTATTTTATGTATTTTTTAGGACATTTCTGATTCATTTGCATCCTTGAAGAGCATCTGTAGAAGAGGAAGGAAAAGATGGGTGTGAAAACATTTACTCACAGCTCCTCTTCCCACAGCCAGGAAATGCTTGGAAAGCTAAATATGCTGCGAAATGATGGACATTTTTGTGATATCACTATTCGTGTTCAGGACAAAATCTTCCGGGCACATAAAGTGGTACTAGCAGCTTGCAGTGATTTCTTTCGCACCAAACTTGTAGGCCAAGCAGAGGATGAGAACAAGAATGTGTTGGATTTACATCATGTTACAGTGACTGGCTTTATACCCCTTTTAGAATATGCTTACACAGCCACTCTGTCAATTAACACAGAAAATATCATTGATGTTCTAGCTGCAGCCAGCTATATGCAAATGTTTAGTGTTGCTAGCACCTGCTCAGAGTTCATGAAATCAAGCATTTTATGGAATACACCCAACAGCCAACCAGAAAAGGGTCTAGATGCTGGACAAGAAAATAACTCTAACTGCAACTTTACTTCTCGAGATGGAAGCATTTCTCCAGTGTCTTCAGAGTGCAGTGTGGTAGAAAGAACCATTCCTGTCTGCCGAGAATCCAGGAGGAAGCGCAAAAGCTACATTGTTATGTCTCCTGAAAGTCCTGTGAAGAGTAGCACACAAACAAGTTCTCCCCAGGTATTGAATTCTTCAGCTTCCTACACAGAAAATAGAAGTCAACCAGTTGACTCTTCTTTAGCTTTTCCCTGGACTTTTCCTTTTGGGATAGATCGACGAATACAGCCTGATAAAGTAAAGCAGGCAGAAAATACTAGGACTTTGGAATTACCTGGTCCATCTGAGACAGGTAGAAGAATGGCTGATTATGTGACTTGTGAGAGCACAAAAACTGCTTTGCCTCTGGGTACCGAAGAAGATGTCCGAGTCAAAGTAGAAAGGTTAAGTGATGAGGAGGTCCACGAGGAAGTGTCCCAGCCTGTCAGTGCATCTCAGAGTTCACTGAGTGATCAGCAGACAGTGCCAGGAAGTGAGCAAGTCCAAGAGGACCTTCTGATTAGTCCACAGTCTTCCTCTATAGGTATAAGGTCTTTTGTGTTTTTCATGATGCTGTAAAGTTAATTCAAGCATTTTAAGTGCCTATTAGGTAGGGATTATTTAGAAGAATAAAACATGATAACTGGATTTTTTTTAGATGTTATTGGTTTTCCAATTTTTTTTGCAAGTTATAAATTGGGGAAGAAAAGTTTAGTTGCATGATTTCTGATGGGACAAAGGCAGGTTATATTATATACAAATAGTGTATTACTTTCAATGCAAAAATAATGCCAGTTTCAAAAAATCCAGTTACTCTTTTATTCATTAAAATATTTATTGAAAACTTACCATGTGCCAAACACGGGGTATATGATGGAAAAGATATAGTCTGTGCATCTGAGGAATTAATAGTCTAATTGAGGAAGCAGATGTATAAATCAGGCTAGGGATGATCAAAGTGTTATCAGTTCACAGAGGAAAGAGAAAGTTAACACTTTCTTGTATATTTGAACTGGATTTTACTTAGTAATAGGAGTTTGCCCAGGAAGGAAATGACATTTCTTTGAAAACCTATAAAATCACAGGGGTATGGAGCAGCATTACATGTTTAGTGACACGTGGATTCAATGCAAAATGATGTTAAAGCATGGATACCTGCAAGTATGGGAAATAATAGGAAGTGAGAAAAAAAATGAGCAGTTGAGAGTGTGTTGTAAAGAGCCTTGAATACTAGTTCAATTAGGATTGCTTTCAACTCCATATAACAGATTCTCTTCCAAATGACTTAGGCCAGGATTTTATTTTATTGCATAAAATGTTCAAATATAGGAAGTCCAGAATTGCCTCTACAGTATAACCAGTGGCCTAAGCTTCTTGTATATTGATGATCCACCATCCTTAGTATGTCAGTTTCATCCTTGTGCTTATTGCTTCATGGTTACAAGATGCTTCATCATTAGCCTCATATATTGTAAGGGACAGCAGTATAGCAAGAAAGCACAAATGTTCCCAGAAACCCCTAAAAACCTTCTGCCAGATTGTCATTTGGCCTTTCCTAGCTGCAAGGGAATATGGGAAGGCGTCTATATTAGTTGGGTATATAACTGCCTCAAACAAAACTGGAGAATGGAAATTATATGCCACAGTGCCTGCAACAGCTAGGCCATGTAAGCTCAGGTTTTATCCTAGTAGTAATAAAGAGTCTACCTTAAAGGGAACAAAAAAAACATTACAGATATTTTAGGAAAGTTAATTTGGTATTGGTGTGCAGAGGGTTTGACTACACAGAGACAGCCTCAGAAACCAGTTATAGTGTGATTTTCTTTGTATGAATGATGATGCTTAGAGTAAAACTATAAAGAAAATGGCTATTAAGAGACTTGTTAAGGAAGAATCATTACTATCTGATGATGTTGAATATATAGAATGAGGAAATCAGAGGAGTTAGAGAATTCTGGATGACTAGAAAAATAGAACATTTTATTATATTCATTGATTCTAAGTCACAGTTTTTCACTTTATTGTTTCTATATCCAGATATCTCTTACAATTAATAATCTTGTACAGTTACTATTTCTTAATCATACAGAAACTAATGGTAATCATATAATGGCTAGGAGTCTATTAAATGCAGTAACTATAATATAAAAATCAGTGAAGAAGGTAGGAACCCAGTTTTAAGAGTAAGTCAACAAGGTCATTTCTCTGTGAATTATGCTTGGGTGATGACCAAGAAATATAATGCTACAAAGCAGTTGAAATGATAGGATTGGTGAAGCCAAGACTGAAGGTTACCAGTTTGGGGCTTTTCTTTCAGCAGTGACAGATAGAATCTCAACAGGAAAACATACACATAAGAGCCAAACCATAGGACCGATCCTTGAGGAATATCTGTATTCAGTGAGGGGAAAAAAGCCAACAAAGAATAATAAATAAAAAAGGATATCTCCAAAAGATCAGAGAACCAGGAAAGATATATTAACTTTATTAATTCTTGAATTTTGACATACTATATGTGTTTTCCAGTGCTGCCACACCAAAGTACCACCACTAGGCGATTTAAAGCAACAGAAATTTATTCTTCCGCAGTTCAAAAGATCAAAGTCTGAAATCAAGGGATGTCACAGCAAGGCTGTGATCCCATGGAATGCTGTAGGGAAGGATTCTCCCTTGCCTCTTCTAGCATCTGGTAGTTCCTAGTACCTCTTGATGTTCCTTAAGTTTTAGCCACATCCCTCCAATTTCTACCTCCTTCTTTGTGTGGCCTTCCCTGGGTCTCTGACTTCAAATCTCCCTCTCCTTATAAGGACACTAGTCATTGGATTATGGCCCACCCTACTCCAGTATGACCTCATCTAACTTGATTATATCTGCAAAAACCCTGTTTCCAAATGAGGTCACATTCATAGGTTCGGGGTAGGGGATTAATTTGTCATTTGGGGGACACAGTTCTACCTACAACACCTCAATCTGGGTCAAGATACTTTTGAATTCAAGTGACCCCCAAATTCAGTAAGGTATTTGATGGCAGGCAAGCATAACTATTTGTTGATATGACCAAGTTTATGTTAAATTATTTAGAGTGTTTAATCTGAAAATATCTTGGTACCTCCCAAATAATGAACTGTTTAAAAATAATTACTATTTTAATCATTTATCTGAGAACTTAGAAACTGAATATTAATCTGAATATCTTGTTAACAAGACATGTCAGTCTTATTTTAGCATTCTCAAGTATATCTAATCAGTACAGATTTTGCCTTTACTATATTACTAACATGACTAAATTCTAGAGAAGTTAGGAACATTAGAATAAACTTTTCAATTATGTAACCTATTTACAATATATGCTATCATAAATGTGAATGCTATTATAAAATAGACTTGTTAATAACTCTAATCAGAATATCATGTAATCAAATAATCCAAATGAGTTTTTTCTTGCCTTCATAACAGTTGTACTTAATCACTCTGAGTTAACTACAAATCTATATACTAAAACAAAGCCTCACAGGAAGAAAAAAGTTTAATTTGTAGTAGACTTGTTAATAACTCTAATCAGAATATCATGTAATCAAATAATCCAAATGAGTTTTTTTTCTTGCCTTCCTAACAGTTGTACTTAATCACTCTCAGTTAACTACAAATGTATACACTAAAACAAAGCCTTACAGGAAGAAAAAAGTTTAATTCCTTGAACATTATAAGGCAGTTAAAAAAGGTAGAAGGGAAGATGTGTACAGTGCTTTTTTTCCATGTTCCATAAGAATACTTAATTTTACTTAACTAATTTATTAAGGAAGATATCTATGAGGTAGTTTGTCATTTTAGGGACAGAGAATAAAACATTTAATACACTCATTATTATGAAATTCCAAAATAATAATTTGATTATCCATGAAATTAATTCAAATAGGATTTTACCTGTTTTGTAAGTTCCCTTTATTGCTAGTTGCCCAGCAAAAGGTTGTAAAATCTGCCATCCCAATTTAGGGCAAATAGAAGTAATAAATACAGGAAATTTAAAACAGAAAAAAACCCTGCTACATTTAGGTTGGGTCATGTTACTCAAAAAGATGACCATCAGTATTTTAAACAAAAATTTTATAAATGAGAAGGACTTCGTGATATGGCTTCATTATTTATCTTGAAGTATTTAATTATATATATGCCCCAAAGGCAAATATAAGTAATTCTAGATTATCCACAGTTTACTAGGTTAACAAAGGAATTCAGTTTTTTCTAGGCACTAAAATATGCCTCTACAAAGTGATTGTTATGGGGATAAGTTAAACTATTAAGAAATAATTTGACAGTTTTCTCAGAAGCAGTAAATGAATAAATAAACTTATTGAGGTGGGCAGCTAGAATAATAGTGGAATTGCAATATTGATTATTTAGAAAAGCAATATAGCATAATAAAAGTTCAGGATTTGGTGAAAGATCTAGATTCTGCTGCTGATTTCTGCAATTGAATAGATGTGGACATCCTATTTTCTAGTCATACGCCTGAGTGACTATAAGTTTCCATAACCATAAAGTAAGGATAGTAAAGTAAGTATGTCAGTGTCCTCCAGCCAAAGACTGGAGGTCTTTGTGTCATTGACCACCAGCAGCACACCTGTAGTTGAACAATTTGAGGTGGTAGTTTTAATATCTGAAAATCCCTAATTACCCCAAATATATGGTATAAGTTATTATGCAGCGGGCAAGCATAAACTGTATGTCCACATAAGAAATAGTATCCTAGTAGTGGGAGTATAGGGAATATAAGTATCACTCATTATAATAGGAGTAAGTCAGTTTTGGGTCCCATAAAATAGATTTCTTGAGGAGGGTTAAACAGTTCCTACAAACCATGCTGAAGTGTCTGAGAAAAAAGAAACAATCATAATCAGGATAGCCCCAGTATTAGTGTCTTTCTGATTGAATGGGCCTTGATAGGATCATAATAACTACCAGAAGCATTTTGATGATGTGAGGTCAAGGTCCATTTTTCACAAGACTGAAAGCTGTAATATGATTATGAGAGGACTATAAACTGGAATCTACTTTCTGAAGTGTTTAAAGGAACAGTATTTAAATTTTTATCAGCCAAGTTGGGTAGAAGACAGTAGATTCAGCACTCTGAGAATAGTGCCTGTGGTCTAGAAAAAACATACAAGAGTTTCATTTTTCCTTAAGTGGCAGAAGGAGATTTTAGGGGGTCAAAGCAGTAAGATGAAGATAAGAGATCATATTAGATATAACAGTCAAAATTAGTAGCGATTTGTAAAGGGATAGAAAAGACTACTAAAGAATCAGAAAATTGATATAGTCATCTTGGATAGTAATGTCCACTTCTGAAGTCAGTATCTTCTGGAGAATCCATGAGAAGGAATGTATATACAGTAGTGAACGATGTAACGTATGTCTTTTAAGTTGGAAAATGTGAATCCAGTGAACACCCCTTAGGTTTTACTGCTGAGTCAGTTGTTAACAATATCTAATTCATTCCTTCCATTGATGTTCAATGGCAAGTTTTCTCTGGTGACATCTTTTACA